CTGCACCCATTATATGCAGGCGAACTGTTCAAGGCCGGCATTTGATATCAGATGATAATGGTAGTACACCTGTGCCTCTCTCATGCTTAGATATACTGTGCTGTAAACTTATGCTCCCTTGTGAACACATTCATTTAGGTTATGTATGTTCTGCCCTTTCGATCGATCCATGGTCTCGCTGCTGCCCACGAACAGGAGCACGCTTCTCCTGTCAGTGAGTTTCTTACCTTTTGTTGCACAAATGTCATAGAAAGATGGCAACATTATAAATCTAACACAGTTCACCGCACCATGCAGGGGCTGCAACCTTGATTTGCAGTGCTGCAATTCTTACGAGTATTGTGTTTCTTGCTGCTTGAATCCTTCTAGGGTAAATCTTACATTCTTACTAGCAGTACTGGATTTGGCATAAGAAGATTGAACGAAATGAGTTATTTCCTGTGTTATTTACTCATCCTTTTGACAGACCAAGGAAGCAGATGTGCTGAAGTTGAAGGTAGCTAAGCCAGTTACTGCTGGTAAGATGTTTGTAGTTATTGTTTGGTGTATCTTGAGAATAATGAGAACTTTAATGTGTCAGAAGAAGTTTACACTTTATTATCCTCTAGGAACTTACGCCAATATCTTCGATTTCTGCATGGGAAGATGCCGCCATAGTTCTGCAAGCGTGGTATGTGTTCTTTCTTAGCGTGCAAACATGAGGCCAAAATCACTGTCTTCGCCTTTGTAATGAAGTTTAGCACTAATTGACCCCAATCGGAAAACATTCACGATCTGACCCTTTTAGGAAACACCACCCACCGTGGCGTATTGTTTACACGGAAAATGCCATGGTCAACAGCGTTTGCGCTCTGAACCATGCCTGGCTGATCTGCTGTCGTGGCATGGTCAATACGATTTGTCATGTCTTGGCGTTTGACATGCCGCGTTAGCAGGTCAGCGGGCACGGGCCAGGGCGCAAATGCCGTTGACCATGGTGTTTCCTGTGTAAACAATATGCCCTGATACGGTGGGTGGCATTTCCTAAAAGGTTCAGACCGTGAAATCTTTTTCAGGTAGAGTCAGTTAGTGCTAAACTTCATTAAAAGAGTCAAAACAGTGATTTTGGCTCTAATATGAATGTTTCAGGACACCTTTTACATGAATATCTATAATAGGAACAGAGCTCCAGTATATTTTCATCCTTACAGTGTCTTATTTTGTTGGCAATCTGGCATGTTATAAATTCAACAACTACAAGTTAAAACTATCTGGTAAACAATTCTTCCTTTCAGTCTAAGTTGTTGTTTGAATCTACCAGGTCCATGAAAATGCATATTTGAGCGATTTCCATCATTGCTTTCTGGTGCAGCAAAATTCATCAGGTACAAATTATATTCTTACATCTTGGCTAAGTTACCACATTCTCTAGTAATAGCATCTGTTCACCATCATTTCTAGTACCTAAATTATTTAGCTAATGCTATTACTATTTCCTCATAAGATTCAAATTGAACCGCCCATTAGGAGTGGATACGAACCAAGCTCCACTTGGCTCAGCTCACTTGATGTTACATGCTACGAGCCAGAAGTGGTGGCCTAGCCCCATTCATAAAGGCCAAGCCAGTTCACTTTGGCTCATCGCATGAATGTGGAACAGCAGCCAGCACTAGTCACAGCAAAATAAAGTACAGGAAGCAGTTTGTTAGCATTTTTCATTTTATCATTTCATTGCCTCCCTATCTGTCAGTTAGATTCAATCAGTTAGTTATCCACTCTTAGAGATTTATAACGAGCTTGATAGGGCCGATAATAGTGCACGGGTAGGGGGATTTTCTGGAGTTTTGTAAGGAAGATAGGAACCTGAGATTTGTTGGCATTGGTTGGGGACTACTTTTGCTGTTGAATTCTTGGATGTGTTGTAGAAAACAAGAATTAGACCCCTGATCACTTCCTTTCTAGTCAAGCTTAGTCTGAGCTGAGCCCAGTAAGTGCACAAGCTGCTAACTTCTTGTCCACTACTAATGCCCACATTGTCACGTTCTTGAAGACATGGATTATGCTTTAGGAAATGACTATGTATAACTATTTAGCAGGATCAACTGAATCTAATTTTGGATCAAGGCTGGATGGCATTAACGTCATTTTGGGAAGGTAAGGTCTTTCCAATTTAAGCTCTAAATGTAGTTCAGTGAATGATGCCCATGGGAATTTCCTTATGTAATCAAACCTGAAATTTAGGCAGGGGGAATCGTGTAGTTCTGCATGCAAAGCAAAAGGACAATCATGTGTTCCAAGCAGGCTTTCTGAGTTGAACAAATGTCAGATGTAAGTTTATTTAAAATATCTAATATTTCTACTATTTCCGTTTAAATAATACATCATTGTAGATATTGTTGTTTGATTATCCTCAGATGTTTTCCTGATAGAATAATTTTGGTCTGATTGACTACTCGAGTAGCAAGTTCCACTGTGATTATGTTAAGTGCTTTTATGGAAATAACGTTTTTTTTGCATGATTGCACGCGACCCAGTTAATTGTTTTGTTATATAGTTTGAACGACACAGTTCTTTAGATGAAAATTGACGATGAGCTGATATTCTAAAGTTGATATGAACCAGCATTTTAAAGGAAGTCATTATTTACATCTGTTTTGGGCCTGCAGGGCTTTAAAGCATGCCGTCGTTCTAATCAGCTGTTTTGCTCCATCCCATATCCAGTTACTCAATCTGAATATGGAAGCAATCTCTTTGCTGGAGAAGTTTCAGATATCTACACGTTTCCAAGTTCTGAATTACCAACTACTGCCTACTTGATTAAATGAAACAATTCCAGCAGAAGTTTGTAAATGACAAAGCAAAACACTTAATTGGAGAAGAGACAGGACCGTGGTGCAATCTATATAGTGGAGTGATGGAAGTTAAGGAAAACACCATATATCTTAATATCTTATACAGTGGAGTGATGGAAGCTAAGAAAAGCATCATATATCTTGATAAAAGTTTGCAGCCTATTTTGTGCACAATCTAAAATTTTACGTTGTAGTTGTCCATATGAGGTGGATTTCATATCATGTGTGATTGCCAAAAGTAAAGTGGTGAATCACGTTTCAATATAAAACATATTCTTAGAGTGCCTATAATTACTGATAGCAGTATTGTTAACATGTAGATTCTTCAGATAATAATGATTCTGGGCCAAATATGAGGCTTTGCTATTACCAGTGTGATTTTGGTCTTTTTGTCACTAACATAATTTATGAAACAGTGTTATTTGGTCTTATTTATCATTATTCATCTAGGATGTCCAAGTAGTAGTAACCAGTAAGTTACATACACCTGTGGTTCTTGCTACAAAACCATATCTGTTGCACTTCTATTTTAAACAAATTCTTTCATGTTGCAAATCAGCACGAGGAAAATTTAGTCAGCGAGTCTGATTTGAAATGGAGTTGTGTTGACCTTTTTATCTGACTATTTATCAATTCAAGAAACACAAATCAGCATTTTCTTGCTCATGTTTTGTTATTGAAACCAGTTTGCAGAAATATATGAGATGCAAAAATGGTTGCTTTCCCAGTCTTGGGCCCGATCAACCTGCCGAAGTTGTAGACGAAGCTCCAAAAAATTTGGTATGACTAATGCATTATTTTCTATTTGCTAATTTCCCGTATAATGGTTATCTCCTGTGTATTTATGCTGTTTGACCACATGCAGACTGTTAAGAGTCTCTCTAGAAAAAGGACGTTTTGATATGCATGAAATACATTTTGCTTGTGTGTATACTTCTGGCCATTTTCCAACTCGAAAGTCTCCGCAACTGTACTGACCACCCCTCAAAATAGTTAACTAACTCGAAAGTGTCCGCAACTGTCCCCATCTACCTGCCATCAGGGCATAATCGATGGCGTGGTTGGAGTCTTGGAGAGGCTATGATGCTTTAGTACATGGTGTCCCTTGTCTAAGAAACTAACATCTAATTTAAAGGAAATTGATCTTATCTCCATATTTTCCTAATAATTTCTATCTTTCTCATCTTCCTAATAAGGTCCTTATGCGCCATTGACACACAACACACATGATATAACATTTAGGCAATGCTGGGTCTGCCACACGACATATCAGCTTTGAGCATTTGGATCTTGGCTAGGGGAGACCGGGAGAGGGAAAAGTGAGGAATTTTACCCTTGGTTTCCAATCTTTTTTTTTTCCAAAAAGAAAACAAATACTCCCTCGGTCCCATAATATAAGAGTGTTTTTGACACTAGTGTAGTGTAAAAAACGCTCTTATATTATGGGATGGAGGGAGTACAAGGTAGAGAGCCAAGCATACCTATCTCAATAGATTCATATAGCTCATGCTTGCCTTACTCTTGTGTGTGTGTGTGCGCGCGCGGGCACGGGGACTGCATGCACTGGACAGGTCTAAGAGTGTTGGCAAAGAGACTTAAAGCATGTAACTAATTTTCGTTTGGCTGCTGTTTCAGAATCCCGGAGCTTGCTTGTACATGCAGATGGATGACCGCCTCACCTGTGATGGCTCACATCGACATACCCGAAGGCTCTGTCCTTGTGCATGAAACGGTGGAAAAAATAGTGGCAGTCACAAGAGAGGTAATTTTGTTTTCCTGAAACAGCTCATCAGGTTTGAAAGATTCATCAGCAAAATTGTTCTCGCTCACACCAGTCACAGTCACTTGCCAGGAAACAAGCGGAGGTAATCCGCCGAAAGCAGATGGCTCAAAATGGCATGGCCATTTCTGCACCAAGTTCCCAAATGGCGTATAGCGGATGAAAAGAGAACATAGTATTTTAGCTTTGCAGTTTATCTTTTGCATGTCTGGATGCAATCATCCGTGTCCAGAGCAAGCAACTTTTCAAACACTTATCTTTATAATATATATATGGTCACAAATTTCCATGCATGTTCAGTACAGAAACAACCAAAACGAACTACAGAAACATGACTTTTTTTAAAATCAGCTGCCCCATGACAGCATCATCACAAACTTCCACGCTCCTTAAAAGGAGTAATCAGGCTTGAAATCTGTCAAACTCTTTGGCCTGCCCCTGCCTTTGTTGTCATCCTTATTATTCTGATCAGTGGCACTGCCCTTGTCAGCCTCCTCCTCTGCTCCTGCTGCTTCTTCTTCCTCGCAGTCGAAGGCGGGGTGGGTGAAGATGTTCTCCAGGAGCCGTGTGCCCCTGAGCGCATTGGTGAGGGGCAGGTGGCCCTCCGGCGTGTCGTCATTGAGCTCCCAGATGAACTCGTCCGGGAAGGCCCTGTAGTTGAACTGCTCCACCTCGGTGTCCAGCTTCTTCATCCAGCCAATCTTGATGAAGAATCGGGTGAACTCGCGCAGCGACTTCTCCCAAATCCGGCGCTGCACGCTGTACCCGAACCTGCCGCCGCTGTGCTCCAGCCAGAGCGCGTCCACGGCGCGGAGGTCCTCGACGGAGATGAACTGGACCTCCGAGAAGAAGACGTACCCTCGGCGGCGCGCGGCCTCGCCCGCGAGGACGATGAGGAGGGCCCGGGTGGTCTCGTCAGCCTGCCAGTAGTCCCCCTCCGCCAGCTGCTGGCCCAGGAGCTCCAGGGAGGGGGTGGGCGGCGAGGTTGTCGCCGCGGCGGCGGCGACCGGAGTCGGAGCCGGCGAGTTGGCGGTTGTGGTCACTGAGGAGGAGCTGCTGGCGAAGAGCTTGAATGAAATGCTGTTGCTGGCGTTGGTGGTGGTGTTGGCGGTGAGCTTGAGGAGCGCGGGAGGGGAGCCGTCGTGGGTCGTGCTGCTGGGGAAAGAATGGTGGTGCTGGGGGAGGAAGGACTGGAGGGAGGCATTTGCCATGGCCGGCCGGCGAAGAGGCGGCTGAGGATGGATGGAGGGGAGGGGAGGGGAGGA